ATTTTTTTTTTTTTTTTAATTTCGGATTTGTATTATTCCTATTACCTGCATGCAATGTTTGCTTATACATCTTCCATTCACTTTCCATTGACCAGCTTTTGATCAACCAGACACGCCTGATGACTTAAGCTTCATAGCTTAAATACCATATGAAGTGTAATACGAGAAGAATCCAAGCATTTTCTTGAAAGATGAAGTGAATACCATTGGTTGAATTAATTGATCAAGTAATCCTGTGGAACGAAAAGATGTATGACATTAAATATTACAAATTAATAAAGTTATTATTCAATGTTGTCGATTTATGACTAAAAAAGTTTAGATTTATTTGCAAATAATTGGATAAATTCTATATAATATTAATTTGAATGGCATCGCAAACAAGAGAAGAGACGGCACTCCTTATCAAATTAGCATTGGCTACAGGAAAGGAAATAGGTAGGAAACTTGTCTTGATAGTGACTTTTACTTATTAGATAGATAGACTAGGGTGGGGCTTGTGTCCCTTTGCCTTCAGATTGAGGTTCTTTATGTCAGAAAATTTATCACTTATCACATCATCATGTCAATAAATTAAATTAATTAAATAGAATTTTCCTCAAATCAAAGCAAGCTCTTTAATGCGGAATCACCCGTGGGTGACGGACAGAAAATTGCTTAACAAACCCACACCGTATATGAGTGAGAATAAGAGTGCATGTCTCTAGAGAGAGAGAGAGGGGAGGTGGCGAGTTGAGGACTAAGTGTGGGTGTGCCTGTGTGGACAATAAACTGAGGTTAACTTGACCAAATAGTTTTTCTCTTCACAAGGGCCTTTGAAATTTTAAGTCGTTGGATTACTCTCCCATACACAAAAAACAATTGCTAAAGATTGTATACTTGTAAAACTCAAATCTAACACTTGACCTACTTAGTTATGTTTGATTATCTAAAAATTATCTCAGGTCAATCTTTGCTAACAACCACGGTTGGTTTTTTTTATGTGGTTTTATTGTACCTTTTTTTCTAACTTTTCTTCACATTTTGTGAGTATTTTAAATTATAAAATTCATTTGTTAATTACAATCAGGATAAAAATATCAGGATGGGGAGAATATGATTAGATTCTTTATTGGACCAGCAACTTTGACTTGCTATGTTGACCAAATATTTTTATTTAATTTTTTAGCAATGTTATTTAGACCTACATTAACCTAATTTTTTGATTTAATGATATGATTTCACTATAACCGTTAGATTAATACTAAATTTTAATGTTTGATGGGATCCACAGTTAATCCAAATGTTATAATGAATTAGGTCAGTAAATTAAGTTAATAAATTAGGTTCAAATAATATTGCTCTAAATTTTTTCTTACAAATAGAGCAATGCTACAAAAACCAATTGCATATCATTCCTTAGAAGAGTTTGGGATGAATGGGTCCTATTGAAAAAGTTGATAGGACCTACTCATTCAA